AAGATGTGGATACCTTCATTTCGTATGTAAGTACATGTGGAAGATATTCTTAAGTTAATCTCACGAGAAGACGTCGGTTGTTGAAATCGCCATATGAATCTCTTCAGCATGTACTTCCATACAGGAGATCTTGAGAAACCTGCATTTACTTCTTTGAAACATAATTTTATATTTTCATACATTATTACAGGTTAGAAATATACTTTCGATCTAGCAAATTACTGCCAATTTCACAGCTTTTTTCTATTACTATGATTGATGGTGTTAATATTAGTACTAGTAGTAAGTGTAGGCCACACTATGAAATTACACGAAAATATTCGCAAGCATTTAAAAACGAAGTCCATAATCTTTAGTTGCCGTCTATTACTACAACTGTAGATATATCTGATAAGACGTTAACCGATATTGCTCTTTTTTTCACGAATGCGGGCATATGGGAGAATATAACTTTTCTGCATTGTGTGCTTCCATCCGGTTAAATAATCTCATGAGAAATTCTGTCGCTTTTCCTGAAAAGATTGTACTTTCGAGGATAAAATCAAAAATAAAGAATTCGAATAATTCATCTAGAATTTTCGGCCTACTTGTAACTTGTATATGTCATATCGAATTACACTTAGTTCATTTTCATTAATCTCATTCTTCCAGTTAAATACTATCATAGATTCCCTAGGCCGCTAAAGCTAAATCAGAGCTGATAGCGAAGTTTATTCCCAATGAATTGTGTACGCCACATTGCGAAAGGACAAAATTATCAGTTCCTAAACTATCTTGGTTTAATTTTTTTAATGAAACTCTTTCTTAATTATTTTTGTTAGATTCTAACTCTATTTACATCAATATAATCCATTCGAGTGTTCATATTTGGGCAATGTTTCGCTCGCGGGTAAAGAGTAACTATTAGAGCAACAGAGTGTATTTTAAAAGATGGCATACTTTCAAGCTGCTATGGGGAAAATCCTACTTCTACGCCATACTCCTTGGGTCTAGGCCAAAACAGGTGGAAACTTGTGATCAGAAGAATCGTGCTCATTCACAAAACTAGCGACGTTGATGCTGCTAACACAAGCCCTCTTTTGTTTTTTATTTGTGCTCAGAGTATGCAGTGGTCTGCTAGGCAAGCCGTACCAAATTCTCAGAGGTCACTTGTGCAGGGCATGGAGTCTATATTATTAGTGCAGCAGAGTCAAAATATTGTAAATCAGTAAGAGACTAATTAAAGTAAAGAGAAAGGAGAGTTAAACAACGCAACAGTAGAAGGCACCAATGAGTAGCAGGAATAGGTGAACAGCATTTGTTTGCAGGTGTGAATCTCTAACAAAAACCCTATGCTACTGTAACCAAGATTTGGAATGATGGACAGAAAGACTAAAGCTTATTACAAGTATACTTTCTTTTGTCATTCTGCCTCATAAATTTCCTTTTTATTGCCGAAGAGCTTGCATAATTCGGGCCTAAAATTATCTATTTGTGTGATTCTACATCGCCTGAGTGAATCAGTAATGGTATGATTTCGCAAGAAATTGATACCCAACCCCATAAAGAACTAACCGTTGCTTTCTGGTCAACCCATTCAAGGCTTCTCGAGTCTGATATATGCGCTGTATCTTTCTTCTGGGCTATTTTTGTAGGTCCTCTTTGGTTTCCCAATCTGTTGGTCCCTCTGTCAAGCACAAAACAGCCGGTTCTGGCCCCACCAACAGCAGTGGCCAGAGTGACATTGACTGTCTTGTTGGCTATTGCTGCCTCTTGTTCACAAGAGGGCGAAGAGGCGGGCGATGAGGAAGAAACGAAGGAAGAGGAGATACAAGAGACATCCACGCCGCCATCTTCTTCTCCCACTCCACAGCGTTCCACACCTGAGGTCAGCCAACCACCGGAACCGGGCCCATCGGTGGGGCTGACCAAGAGTCGTTGAGATGGTGAGAAGGTTGAGAGTCCGAAACCGCCGGTAATTGCGTC